GAAGATTTTTGAAATATTGGTTAATTTTCCCTTTGGGGCCCCGCCCTGGCCCCAGGGGTCGGGGTAGGAATCTCAATTTTACAATTTGAAACCATCTTCCTCCAAGGATAATTCTCACTAAGTAAAAATAATTTCCTACAAAAAGTTGTCAAAATATACCCAAAAGTGTTATCTCCCTATATAAACTATAGTAAACTTTACCCCCTCCCAACGGGAGAACGGATAGCTCGGGGGTCCTGAAATTTACAATTTAAGTAAAGCCCCTGATGATCTTTCTTTCCATGTAGAGAAAATGAGTGTAGTACCTCTGAGTCTGGAGAGGAAGTTTTTTGAAATATTGGTTAATTTTCCCTTTGGGGCCCCGCCCTGGCCCCAGGGGTTGGGGTAGGAATCCCAATTTTACAATTTTGTAGCCTCATCTACCAATGATGATTCTGACCAAGTTTGAAAAAAATCCATCCACTGGTTCTTGAGAAGAAGTTGAAAATGTAAAAAGTTTACGCACGACGGACGACGGACGACGACGGACGGAACGCGATTAGAATAGGTCACTTGAGCAAAGCTCAGGTGACCTATAAATGGACAATTATACGCAAGAGAAAGGTGAAATATAAGTCCACTATCATTTAATTTACAGATTACCAAACATATTACAGGAAGTGCTAGGACCGTAGGATGTATATCAGTACGAAGTACGGAGGAAAAAAAGGTTGAAACTATTGAAAATATTGAGGTAAATCACTACCATATAAATGTAGTGTAATATGTGTCATGCATGTCTACGTACTTAAGTAATAGTATACTGTTGTCCAGCATGAATGAAATGGTTTTCCCTCGGACAAATAGGTCATATATACAAACAACGGATCAGTTCTGACCATTACAGCGTATCGGAATATATGAAATATATCACTTACCTCTATAGTAAATAAATGTTGAAAAAGAAATACTTTCTCCACCACAGAAATCGTCTGGCTGTATTTTGTAAACCACCTGTAAGAAAATAAAGCGGATGTTTAGATCACCTTCTCGCTACCTATAATCACAATACATGTAACGTAACAAAACGATATATACAGCTTTAAACTTTTCACCCCGACAGGCCCGGTTGGTGTTTCAGCATGCGCAGTGCTTACTATGTCCATTGATTATAGGTAGGTGAATGTACGTTGGAGTTGTGAGGCAGCCACACGGCCGCTGTCCTCGAGTGACCTGCCTGAGACCTCGTGTGTCTGTATATACCAGCAAACCCTGCCTTACTGTAGCCGATAAACTAGACTGTGTTTATTTACACTCACATTCCACTCGCCGGCGGTTGGACAATGCCTCTGACCACTTAAAGCTTTATAAGTCTCATTTATCCTCCAGTTGACCGGAGACGGACGGGCAGATTTACTAACCGTTTTTTGTTTGGTGATCTGGATTATTAATTACGTGTTTTTGTGACGACACATAGTCACTTTGTTTTGTTTCAGAATTAAATGTATTAATAGCAGCGAGCTGAAGCGTCATAGCCAAAGACTTTGTTAAATTGTGATAATTTACTATCTGGTCCAAATAATGTTGTTTAGAAGAAATTATAAACAGTTAAACTTAATTGATCTATCGAGATTCCTTTCTTATTATTTTTTCCGAACAACCTTTTTTTTTGGCTGTCAATAAGATGTGATTTCGACAGAGAGAAAGTGAAAAAGGAGAATGAGAGGGAGTGAATATTTTATAAGAGCAGTTTTGGAGGCGGCAACGTTCTCTCTATCAAATTCAATTTGTAAGTACCACTATACATGACTAATTGTGACACAAGCGTCACCTTTTCCAACGGATATGGTTATAATTAACTGGCGCAAACTTATTACTAATAAAGATATAGCTGGAACAAACAATGCCTCAATGTATTCACATGTATCTATAGTATACGTGTGGGTCTTTGCCCCATATAGTATACGTGTAATATACACTATCTATAGTATACGTGTAATATATACTATCTATAGTATACGTGTAATATATAATATCTATAGTAGACGTGTAATATATACTATCGATAGTATACGTGTAATATATAATATCTATAGTATACGGGTAATATATACTATCTATAGTATACGTGTAATATATAATATCTATAGTAGACGTGTAATATATACTATCGATAGTATACGTGTAATATACACTATCTATAGTATACGTGTAATATACACTATCGATAGTATACGTGTAATATACACTATATATAGTATACGTGTAATATATAATATCTACAGTATACGTGTAATATATACTATCTATAGTATACGTGCAATATATACTATCTATAGTATACGTGTAATATATAATATCTATAGTATACGAGTAATATATACTATCGATAGTATACGTGTACTATATAATATCTATAGTATACGTGTAATATATACTATCGATAGTATACGTGTAATATACACTATCTATAGTATACGTGTAATATACAATATCGATAGTATACGTGTAATATATACTATCTATAGTATACGTGCAATATATACTATCTATAGTATACGTGTAATATACACTATCTATAGTATACGTGTAATATACACTATCTATAGTATACGTGTAATATACACTATCTATAGTATACGTGTAATATACACTATCGATAGTATACGTGTAATATACACTATCTATAGTATACGTGTAATATACAATATCGATAGTATACGTGTAATATATACTATCTATAGTATACGTGTCATATACACTATCGATAGTATACGTGTAATATATAATATCTATAGTATACGGGTAATATATACTATCTATAGTATACGTGTAATATACACTATCGATAGTATACGTGTAATATACACTATATATAGTATACGTGTAATATATAATATCTACAGTATACGTGTAATATATACTATCTATAGTATACGTGCAATATATACTATCTATAGTATACGTGTAATATATAATATCTATAGTATACGTGTAATATACACTATATAACGATGGAATAGACGTATCTATATATGTATACGTGTAATATACACTATCTAATGACGTACTAGTATACAGTTATAGAATGGGTATGAGGGAAAGTTGGTTTAATATATAACGAATGAGAGATTATATTACGTATTTACCTATTAAACGTAGCGAAATTGATTACGAATTCTATCATCAATCTTAATGTACTAGTCAATTTATACTTACAAAAAAGCACCTGTTTACGCGTATTATTTTGAAAGACCAAACACATTTAAATCCATTTCTTAGTTCAATTTTTAACCAACCATGAATAGGTATTAGCGGCGTAATTCATTGTTCATGTTAACAAGATGATTAATTCACAAAATTGATGGATATTTATTATTTAGTATATCCTGCCAAACCCATTGTTTTGATCTGATATATATTGCTGCTTAAACATTTGCATGTTCACAATCTCTTAATTTTAGGAGAATAATCCTTATTGACATTTTCTTGACATTGTCTATCTGATACAAGAAACTCTGGCGGGTATGTAATTCACATTGATAGTCGAGTCCTATAATCCCGCTTCTAGCCGTCATTACTTATGGACGGACCACGAAAAGTACACTACTCGGGGTAAACGACCTAAAACAAATTGAAGAAGAAGAAGAAGAAGAAGAAGAAGAAGAAGAAGAAGAAGAAGAATACCCATACTGTATGTTTGGCATTGTCCTTTCAACGCGAGGTTGTCATTGAACAATTGACAAGTATGAAAAGAAGAGAAAACGAGAGAGATTTATGATTTGTGACATTCACCTTTTTCTTATGATGAAGTTCAAAATGATATGTAACATAAATAGGTATCAGTGAGAACCGACTTAAGAAATTGGAAGAAAAACAATCTGTACTTCACAGAAACGGGATATCAAACTTCACAGAAACAGGATATCAAACTTCACAGAAACAGGATATCAAACTTCACAGAAACAGGATATCAAACTTCACAGAAACAGGATATCAAACTTCACAGAAACAGGATATCAAACTTCACAGAAACAGGATATCAAACTTCACAGAAACAGGATATCAAACTTCACAGAAACAGGATATCAAACTTCACAGAAACAGGATATCAAACTTCACAGAAACAGGATATCAAACTTCACAGAAACAGGATATCAAACTTCACAGAAACAGGATATCAAACTTCACAGAAACAGGATATCAAACTTCACAGAAACAGGATATCAAACTTCACAGAAACAGGATATCAAACTTCACAGAAACAGGATATCAAACTTCACAGAAACAGGATATCAAACTTCACAGAAACAGGATATCAAACTTCACAGAAACAGGATATCAAACTTCACAGAAACAGGATATCAAACTTCACAGAAACAGAATATCAAACTTCACAGAAACAGGATATCAACCTTCACAAAATATTTAACCAAGTCCAATTAACCTGTTTTTGCCCCTAAAATATGAAAATATGGTTCAGTCGTTGCTTCCACTCCATATAAATACTTCAACCTAATAATAGACAACAGCCTATTGATGGTGATTATCCAACACTTCACTTCACTTCATTTCACTTCTTTTTTTGTCCCGAAGTGGGCACAAACGTGTCGCCCAAAGACACCACTTAAGTGAATTAATTTCATATCACGAGTTGGTCACTGTGACCTGTTATTTTCACTTAACTGACCTAAGTTAGACTAATAAGTCTTTTAAAAGTCCTGACCGTTTGAAATGTATAAAAGTCATTGTAAGCCTTTGTTTTTGTTTCACAATTATGATTAGTACTAGTATCCATATGTTGTAAAACGCTTTAGAGTAATTTTACAAAATATATAGGGCGCTATATAAATGTTGTATATTATTATTATTATTGTAATGCATGTAACACACTTTTTCACTTCGTATTCAGCTCCATTACTATCAAACGTGAGCCGGGCATATTTCTGCTGAACAAATATCCTTTTCCAGTTTACGTAATTGTATTGTGTATTCATATATATCGAACCTACGTACGATAAGGTTTGAGAGGAGCTAGGTCCATGTCCGGTGACTGCTGGGCGGTGAACTCAGTCCTGACCGTTTGAACCCTGTGTATATACACAGTATAGGTCTGTCCTCCACTGGCGTATCGATCAGGCTCCATCAGCCTCAGTCTCCGTATAAAACACGATCACGTGGGCAACGCGGGAACTCGTACTTCAGGGTGTGTCTTGTTTCCAAAATAGTTTTACATTACAATTTTTCACTCCATTTAAAATAGTTTGTTGCCAAAAATAGCGACACATATCTACACATACACAGGAAGCTTGACTCTTCGTGTATATTGAATAATTTATTCGCATAATACAGTGACGAACAGGAGGGAGAAGGAGGAAGATCGACACAAAAGAAATAATTTTATTGAAGTCACAGGTGCTGGACACACTAATAGTAATATGATGTGTATATACCACAGGTGCTGGACACACTAATAGTAATATGGTGTGTATATGCCACAGGTGCTGGACACACTAATAGTAATATGGTGTGTATATGCCACAGGTGCTGGACACACTAATAGTAATATGGTGTGGATATACCACAGGTGCTGGACACACTAATAGTAATATGGTGTGTATATGCCACAGGTGCTGGACACACTAATAGTAATATGGTGTGTATATACCACAGGTGCTGGACACACTAATAGAAATATGGTGTGTATATACCACAGGTGCTGGACACACTCATAGTAATATGATGTGTATATACCAAAGACGCTATACACACTAATAGTAATATGATGTGTATATACCACAGGGGCTGGCCACACTAATAGTAATATGAAGTGTATATACCACAGGTGCTGGACACACTAATAGTAATATGGTGTGTATATACCGCAGGTGCTGGACACACTAATAGTAATATGATGTGTATATACCAAAGACGCTATACACACTAATAGTAATATGATGTGTATATACCAAAGACGCTATACACACTAATAGTAATATGATGTGTATATACCA